TTGTCACTATTATATATCTGACCAAGCTGCTGAAATATAGGGAACTACAAAAGGATGGGTTGAAAAAAGGGAAGGAGAATATCTAAAAATGTCTAAGTAGACAACAGAAAAAGAAAGAGTAAACATTAAAAAAAATATTTCGAGCTTCCTTCAAAGACCTGCTTCTCAAGATCTTTTCTCAATAAGAAATACCAAATTAGAATATCCTTTCTTTTTCTGATTATCTGAGGAACTTATCTATTTTTGATCTTGATTTCCTTCTTGTATACCATTTGAGAAGACTTATCACCTAATGAAAGCCTTTACTTCTAGGATATACTTAGTTTCAACCTTCTTTGAATAGTAATTTTTTATCCACCTATAGTAAAGTGATGATTTATGATGAATCTCAGGTTCTTATATGATCTAGTAAGGACTAAGTCATGTTGTTTCAATATGATATCTTTCAGCAGTTATATTTAATTAAAGGAATTTTACTGGTATACATTTTCCATTATCTAAAAGGTCAGATTCCCTAATAATTTTTTTGCTTTGTAATGATAGGAAGGTTTCAAAAGTGGTGGGAATCCTTGTTAATTGTAACATCCTTTAACAACTTCTAGGGAAATGTATTTTCAACTATAACAAAAGAGTTGAAACTTAGCATAGACTAGAGACTGTTCAGTCTTATTCTATATCCTTTATTAACTTTTTATAATTAATATGTCTTTGTATATATTTGATTTATAGAATAATATAAACTATATACTATCTATTACAGTAAGTAATTAGACTATTTTATATATAGTATACTAGATCAACCTATTCAGTCACCTGGTTTCTCTCTTGGAAAGGACATACGATACTCTTTTAATTTTTCCTAGAACAATTTTATAGAATAATCTAGTTATTAAACTATTGTATGTACTCTAACCTATCCTCAGTTTTGGAACTTCAGTATGGTTTGCAAATTTCTCCTCCTATCAAGGTCTTCTAATAATATACCACAGGCAAGTTTGGCCATGTTTTATATATTCCACCAGTACAATGTTTATTCTTTTTAAAACTTCAGCCTTCTTAACTTGACAACTTCTTTATCAGTTAATAAGATTGTTGAAGTGTTTTTGCCAATCCAGTTTTTGTTCCAGTTGATCACGAAATCAGCTCTATTTTCCTTTCCCTTATCATGGTAATAATAAGATACTGATATCCATAACACCCATAGACTGGCCTAATCTAATAAAGATCAGCTATAGGTGATGCTGTATTATAGTGAATCTTTCTATTTTAGATATCGATAGGATAGCTAGAATTGTGCCCAATGACAAATGGTAACTTGTTATTCAATGAAATCATTTTTATTGTGTATAGTATTTTCACTTGGTTCTTAGGTGGTATTGAACTTTGGATCTTGTGATTGTGACCTGGGAGTAAAGATGGGTCCCTAAAGAAGGAGGCAGGGACAAAAGTCAAATGTCTCTCACTAGGAAACATTAAAATTTTTAAATTAATAACTATAAAAAAACTATCCACAATTGTTTTCCATTATTTAAATCATTATTTTATAACATTTTCTGACTTTTGTTCCTATTAAAGTGAAGAGCTATAAATTGTGTTTCTCAAAAAGGGACATAAGTGATCTGCAAAATTTTATATGCTAAATATTTTAGGGATCCAATATTACCTGGGAGTACTACCACTATGTTATAGACCCACAGGTCATCTATAATAAATTATATCATGTGCTATATTTAATAAAATAATCTATATTAATTAAATATCAATAAGAATATCAAAGAATATCAAAGAATATCAAAGAAATAATTATAAATAAACAGATAAAAATAGAAATAAAATGAAAATTATAACTAAAAATAAATATTCAATTGTATTAGGGACTATTTTTATTATAGTATTAATAGGAGACTAGAAATAAAAAATACTTAAAGACAATTTTTATCAAGAAGTATATTAAAATCACCTATTCAAAATTCTTAAACATAATTAAAGAAGTGATCTTCTACTCCAATATAAAAATAGAAGTAGCATGAATACAAATTGAAGGAGCTAGAAAAAAAATAAATTTCAGACAAAAGTTAAAAATTGACTTTTATCTATAAGAGCAGAATTGATGGCACTAGTTGCAATAGTTTTAATAGTCTCAATAGATAGTATGGTATAAATCTTTATTGATAGTCAAGTCTATATTTCCAAATAAAAAAAAAACAAAAAAAAAAAAGATCACAAGATGACATATAAAAGATGATTAAAAGAAAAGAATTGATCATTATGGATAAGAATACTAGATTTTGTAAAGAAAAAATATATTTAATTGGGTTTAATTAAAGTCAAAGGTCATTCTAATGATTTATAGAATAAAAAAGTAGATTGATTGATCAAAAAAGCATTAAAGCTTCTAGTAATAAAGTGAAATAGCTTTAAATCAAGCAAGATACTTACAATAATATTGTAATAAAAGGATGTAATATTGTATATAGTCTAATCTGATAGTTTATCAAACAAATTAATAAGAAGTTAACTGTTTTATTATAGATATAGCAATATAGAACAAAAACAAAATGGCATCACCAAGTTCAATAATATCAAACCTATTTATGAAACCTGATATAGAATAGGTTAAAGGATAATAATATATGGAATATTTTTTTTAAAAGCTCATAAAAAGAAGTTTCCTAATTAAATTTATTAATAATGAACTATTTATCTTAAGTAAGCTAGTAATAAGAAGATCTGACTTATATAAATAAACAATATATATAACATATAATTAGTAAAAAGTAATAATTAAACATCTACTAAAATATCCTGGTTTCAAAAATGAGATTTTGATAGTATAGAAAAAATAATTTAAAATATTTCTCAAAGAATTTGATAAGCTGTACTGAGATAGGAAAAGAAAAGTATATGAAAAAAGGTACAATTATTAATTGACAATAGAAAAAAGAAAAGTGTAATAAAAAAATGAGTTTTCAAACTTATAGAAATAGCTTCGAAAACTGATTCAAATATATTTAACTTTTGTGCAAGATTAATAGAAAGTAATATAATTAAAGAAGCTATCAACTTAAATTGTTATGGTAAGAGGATAAAAACAATGGTAAAAAAATAAATTATAAGAGTACAAAAGAAGATTTGTAAACAGATCTATAAGTAAGTCTGAAATATATAATATAAAAAAATCATAGAATAGAAACAAGAGCAAAGAATCAATAAAAGAATAAAATACAAGAAGACTCAAGAAGTAAGAAAACAAGATACTTTGCAAGATAATCTTAATCATAAAATTATAAGGTAAAGAGAAAAAAAAGAGATAGTGAAAACAAAAATCTTGTAGAAATTATAAAAATTAGGATTAAATATAAAATAAAATGGTTGGATTTTAACTCTTGTTAAAATTTTGAAAAGTGATTTGTAATAGTAATCTGTAGATAATAAAGTTGAAAGTTAGAAAAGTTTCTATCTGAACTATTAATTGAGCAATAAATTACTTCCAAAGTTGTATTTAGAGTTTTAGATAAAAACTTTGATAAGTGAGTTAATTAAAGATTTAGCTTTAATATTATATATATAATATATAATCTACAATTATTTAATAAAGTACATATAACTAGCCTGACAGAGAGTTAAAAATTAAAAAAAAAATAAAAATAAAAATACATCATATAATTTTATTATAAATTAAAAAAAAAACATGTTTATATAATATTAAAATTAAAAAAATTATTTTTTTTTCTTGATTTATTAATAAATTGAGGTTTTAAATAACTAGATTTCTTGTAAAATATTGTAAAATATTATTTAAAAGAATTTTAGATAAATCTTTTTTTAATCATTTTTTATTAAAATAAATTTCTTCTTAATGTTTTTATTAAAATAAATTTCTTCTTAATGTTTTTATTAAAATAAATTTCTTCTTAATGTTTTAATAAAATAAATTTCTTACTTGAAAAAATCAAATATAAAATATTTTTATTACTTGATTGCCATATGCATAAGTGTCACATGATCCCGTCACAGGGGCACGGTTCAACGGATCTGTTTCGATAACCGTTTTGTGTCATCATATCATTTTAAATTATCAATCATATGAAGGTGTGACGTCGGAAAATATTTTTGGGAGTGGTGGCACGGGAAAAACGGGTTTCATTTTACTATTACATATGTTGTTTTTTACCTTGACTTTAATGGACACTTCACTTAATTGTATGGTTTCATCCAGTCAACCCCCTGGATTCCATTGCCAATTAGTGGCTTATATAACAGGAGATGGCAATCACTTGCCAAATTTGGCCGATCAATAATAAATTCTAGAGTCGGTTCACTTTAGTGCCGCGTGTTCGTATGCACCACGATGGCAACCTTCGTCTGCCCATTATTATTATTGCATGCAATTGATTCTTAATGCATTACAGGGAAATACTAATATAGATTGCACGACTACACAAAGCGATCGAATAAAGACGTTAGTCGTGCGTGCGTGCGTACATATCATCAATTTCATGTACCGAGAAATTAAAATACGCTGTCCAACGGGTCTTAATGTAACACCGAGAGCTTGTGCCACAATCTATATTTTTGGAAATAGTTTTTGCGTATATCGAGTTTCGTTTTAGAAAACCTCGCGCAAAGCAAGTTTATTTTTTCTTTTTTTTTTTTTTAAAAAAAAAAATAGGGTTCCCTTTTTTTTTTTAAAAAAAAAAGTACTTGTGAATTTTGAATAATTTATGGTGATCCCTCGGTAATGTAATACCAATTTTGCGGAAAAAAGAATGTATAATGAAACGATTACAATGTGAATATGAATATAAGTTGTAATTAAAATTTGCTATCCTTAATGTTCGATCCTAACAATATCTTGATCAATAAAAATAAGTCCTTTTTGAATTATGTAAAATTACAAAAATGAGATAGTCGTTGTTTCCCAATTTTTGTATAGTCTATTCCCCAAATTAATGAGATAATTTGATTTATTAATCGAGTCTTGTTTTTTTAAAGTCTAATTAATATCCATCGTTGTATCCGGAATATTGTGGCTGAGGATATCCACCACCGAAAGAACCTTGATTCGTGTATTCATCATCCCCAAGTAATTCTTTAACTTCCCATACGTTTTGTTTGCTTCCAACCGAGAATTCAAGATCTTCCTTGGTGATTGAATCCCAGTACTTATAGACCATCATCACGGCCAAGAGTGTACAGATTGTTCCAAAGAATAGACCATCAATGTAATGTTTCGCAGTGTCACAGATTCGGACGGAGAATACATAGAGCGTGGCCTGACCAATGACGTAAAATGCGATACCAAACATGATGTCACCAAGTGGCCAACGGTCATCAAGGGTGTTGTAAACAAGAACTATTTGAAGGACTACATAGATCACGAGAGCTGCACCGTTAAATATGTACAGTACAATCCAGAGGGGTACTGGGTGTAGAGGATCAAAGCCGGCCATCTTCTGGAAGGTAGCGATGCTAAGGAAGTAGACAGCCGCGAAAACGACGAACGAAGAGATGCGAATAGACTACATATTTATGATATACGTTAACATCGATATAATCAAGGTTGTCCCGTATGGGGAAGGAAAAAAGGAAAGGAATAATTTTTTGTTACCCAAAGTGACAATGCTGTGCCGTCTTCGGCAAATTGAAAGCCTACAAATCCGTTTAGCAGCAAGCACCAGAAAGTAGCGGTGATACAACCAATATGCGCGGCGACAAAGTACTGTAGGAGGGAGGAGGAGGGTGTGTGAGTAGATTTTTTATCAAGTTTGTTCGGCCAAAGAATTGAATTTTGACAAGGATTGAACTTACGGGGTACATTGTGGATGCCGTGGGAACAATTCCGGAGACTAACAGTAGTTCCAGGATGGTCACTATCATGTACAAATAGAAGAACATGACAATTTCCTTACGACCTATTGAAAAAAAAAAAAAAACACTTTAGCGCAAAATTGAACCGTGCAATTATGTCGCATGTCATAACGGGGCTATACATTACCGACAGCGGTGTATTTTGACTTTATGTGGTAAATCATGATGAAGGTCATGATGAGCGCAATGACATAGATAATAATGGTGGCTAGCGAAAAACATAGGTAAAGTTCTCGTTGAGTAGGCATTTTCGTATGGGTAGACGAAGGGATCGAATACTTACCAGGCTGGAAAATCAGCGTTCCGGCGACTTCCACGTTCCTCGAGTAGCATGTCGGTTCGATACCTTCCTCTGCTCCCACGAGAGGGCATAAGGTGAGGGCCACCGTCTCACAAATTCTATTAAAGTCTCCAAATTGTACCATGATTTTGAGAAATCTTGGTTTTTATAATAATAGGAAGTTTAAGAAGCGATGTAAAAGAGCGTAGATTATGGTTAAATAAAGAAAGAGTGTTATTTTTTATATTTTTTTTTTCTGGTTGTATCAGAAAAGCCTATATGAAAAAGGGGGGCCAGAGTTGAAAACCAATCAAAAAAAAAAAAAAATTTTTCGCGTACTAAGAGAAGGCCGGTGCCAATCCTGATGTAACCTAGTGCAGGTCTCGATTTTACGTCGATTGGTATTCGCCGATCAAATTGATTTGCATGTACAGTAACTAATACCAATTATAAAGTCATGTTCTTAATTGTTACATGTTGGAATGCACTATGGATAATTTATTTTTAAAAAGCGATAAGAACGTTAGGCACGATTCCTGAGGGTGTTAATTATGTTCTTTATTTAATTAAATTAGACGCATAATTACGTGGTTCAACGTCTTTTACTGTATCTCTGTATTGTTAATTCTATTTTTAAAAAATTTTTAATTTGATAATCATCTGATTAAAACTTGATACTTTCAGTTTAAATATACAGTGCGTATATACAGTAAAATTTCATATATATACAGTATATATATATATTTTTTAAAAAAATTATAATTTATATGTACAGTGTATATATTTGTAAACCAATATTTTTAATCAATCTACTTAAATTTATGAAATTTCCGAAGTATGTTTCTTCTTTTGAGCATATATGTAATCATTATATGGTGGTCACTTTGAATTTTATAAAAAAAAAAAAAAAATTTTTGAAAATAAGATGATCGCTCGGTGGGCGCACGTTTTCTTAATTTCAGAAATACAAGCTTTCAGAAGATGGATGTCGATGTTAAATTCGAAAAAACCTAGTTTTACATAAGTAGATTAGATATCAAACATGTCCATATGAAAAATCCAATCGTGGTGCATTCGATTCGATTTCATGAACGTCGTGCACCTCTTGACTTGTGGTGCATGCGAAAACAAAAAATCGATGTCCATTATTATTATGCAAACTCTATCAAATGCTCGAAGCGCTCAGGAGGTTATCCAGAAAGAACTAGTTAGTATACCTTCGATGGGGTGGTTTATCTCTAAATGCTAGGTATTTGAATTTTCTCCGTGGAAATGGATGGCACTTTATAGGGATGATTTTCATTTGAAAAAATAAGGTGCCTATTTGACACCCATATAATAATTATTAAGGAGCGGTTCATATGTTTTCGTTACCAAATCGAGACAATGAATGATGTTTGAATTTAAATTCGTCAAATGAGGTCCTTTGGTTCGTCGCCTCCGGCGTGCATGAGCCCAACACCCTTAAATTTTAGGTTTCATCTACAGGGGATGTTGATATAATAACCGTCCATTGTCGATCAAACATACATTAGCGTCGACTTTAAACGTGACTTTTTTTTTTCTCCACTTTGCAATTTTACGAAAAACCCATCGTGCATCGTCGATTCCCCTCTTCTGTGGTTCATTACCGTAATGTAGTAAATTACGACTGGCTTAATCTGCTTGAAAAATCAAACTTGCTAATATCGCATGACGAATCGCGTAAAAAAAAATCGTGAAGCATCTAACGGATAGATCAAATTACCGTGCAGCACGTTTGACACCGAATTCAACGTTTCGTTCAGCAACGCCGAGCGTAAAGATGCTAAATTGTCGTCACCCTTGTCTCGCCATGGGAAGAGAGTTAACACGACGCGTAAGGTGAAAATATATATATATATAATAGGCAATTCTTGTGCACAAGTGAAACTTCAAGCGCCAATTTAGAAACAATCATGACAATTTGTGAGTCATGGTTATTATTGCTGAATATATTTTGTGCGCAGTAAAACCTCCGTTATTATCAATTCTTATTATACCCCGTGCTCGTTATTGTCACTTTTTGTTAAATGTTTTCACAAAAAAAAAAAAAAAATTTTTTTTTTAAGGATGGGTTTCTATTTCTTTTTTTCATAGGTAGGAATAGGATTAAGATGGTAGATTTAAATTCCATAGCTCGCTTTTCATATGTAACTTATGAACTGTAATTTAATTTGTATTCTTATGTAGTCGTCTCCACAAACACACTTAAAATGCACATACATATAAAATCGATTATTTATTGCATCTCAGATAGCGTGATATAATAGAGGTATCGATCACGTAATACAATTTTATATATATAAATGATCCGAAAAAGTGAATAAAGGAAAAAAAATTTTCGAGTGGAAGAACGTGGAATGGAGGTTACGATAAAAGAGGAGCCAAAGAAGGTACTTTTTGTGTCAGCATAACGAAGAATTATGAATGAAATTGACATTCGATTATTGGCTATTCGAATAGACCGCCAAACGCGACGCTTTGTGTTCCATAGAACACGGAATTCAAGAACTATGGGAAAGCGAGAAAGTATTCCAAGTTGATGCACCAACACTAGAGGAAGAGCCTGAAGACTTCTTCAATATACACGAGAAACACCCAAAACATATGGGCACATTCCCGTATCCATACATGAACGGAAGGTTACATTTAGGGCATTTCTTCACGATCACAAAGGTTGAATTTGCGACCGGTTATGAAAGGATGAAGGGGAAGCGAGCATTATTTCCCATGGGATTTCACTGTACGGGCATGCCAATCAAGGTACCACAATCCGATCTAGCAATTATCATTCTGATTAATCGATCGCAATTTTTCGGTCAATTTTCTCGAACCCTTTTTTTTTGTTGATAGGCGTGTGCGGATAAACTTGCTCGTGAATTGGAGCAATTTGGACCAAATTTTGAACTTCCAGGTAGCGATGAATTGGAGGTTGGCGTTAAAGATTTGAACTTGAATGAGGACGCCGACGTCAAATCGGGTTCGGTTGATCCGTCTGGGGTGGCAGCAAAAACCTCTCATCATAAAAAAGGAAAAGTTGCGGCAAAGTCAACAGGTCTAAAATTTCAGTTCCAGATAATGCGAAGTTTAGGCGTTCCGGATAGCGAGATCGCCAAGTTTGCAGATGCAAATCATTGGCTCTCTTACTTTCCGCCGTTGGCTATTGTCAGTATCAAGTTTAGGTTGTTATTTCATTCCCGTCATTCGCTTCACGAAACTAATGTAGGCAGCTTGTTTCACGTTTTTTTCCTAGAAAGATTGCAAGGCTATTGGAGCAAAGATAGACTGGCGCAGGTCTTTTATAACAACTGATGTCAACCCTTATTACGACTCTTTTGTTCGGTGGCAGATGAACAAATTGAAGGCCCTCAACAAGGTGAAATTTGGTGAGCGCTACACGATTTATTCACCATTAGACGGACAGCCCTGCATGGATCATGATCGACAAAGCGGTGAGGGTGTGGGTCCGCAAGAGTACACTGGAATAAAGCTTAAAGTTTTGGAGTGGAGTGAGGAGGCTCAATCCGTTTTAGAATCATTTAAAGAGTTGGAGGGCAAAGATGTATTCTTTGTTGCTGCCACTCTTAGGCCGGAGACCATGTAAGCCACCAGCCATTTCCAATTTCGTTCACTTTGAATAAGAATTGATATCGACTTTTTTTTTTTTTTTTTTTTTTTTCAATGCGACAAAAAGGTATGGTCAAACGAATTGCTATGTTGGAGTTGACATAAATTATGGCCTCTTCAAGATCAACGAAAATGATGTCTTCTTGTGCACTTATCGTGCTGCTCGCAACATGGCGTTCCAAGGGTATTCAAATGAGCGCGGTGTAATCGATCAGATAGCCGAGGTTAAAGGTGCGGTCTTGATCGGCACCAAAGTAGTCGCACCGTTGAGCAAGTATGAACATGTTTACGTCCTACCAATGGAAAATGTTTTAGCAACAAAAGGTACCGGAGTTGTGACTTCCGTTCCATCAGATTCGCCAGATGATCATGCGACCCTTCAAGATCTTAAGAAAAAGGCAGCCTATTATAAGGTCGATCCTTCTTGGGTGGCTTTCGAACCCATCCCAATTATTGAAACACCTACTTATGGTAATCTAGCCGCACCAACGATTTGCCAGCAAAAGAAGATTAACTCTCAGAAGGATCGTTTGCTTTTGGCCGAGGCAAAGGAGTTGGTGTATAAGGAAGGATTTTATAGTGGTACCATGCTCGTCGGAGAATACAAGGGAAGACCAGTTCAAGAGGCAAAACCTTTGATCAAAGAGTTATTGATCTCCACCAAACAGGGATTCGTTTATAACGAACCCGAATCTCTTGTGATGTCACGATCTGGAGACGAATGCGTTGTGGCACTCTGCGATCAATGGTACCTGGATTATGGTGAGGAGACGTGGAGGAAAGAGGCAGAGAAGTGTTTAAGTCGACTAAATACATTTAGTGCGGAGACGAGGCATCAGTTCGAAAAGACTCTGGAGTGGCTGAATCAATGGGCGTGTGCTAGGTCCTACGGCCTAGGTTCGAGATTGCCCTGGGACCCTCAATACCTGATAGAAAGTTTGTCGGATTCCACCATATACATGGCTTATTACACTGTTTCACATTTGTTGCAAGGTGAATTGAGGTTGCCTATTTAGAATTCGGTTGAATGAAGAGATGTTTTTTTGACTCATTCCGAATTGACTTTTTATGAATAGGCGGTGCATTGGATGGTTCGACACCCGGACCACTTGGCATTCAGGCTTCGGAAATGACCGATGCGGTTTGGGAACACATAATCTGTGGCGGACCTCGCCCAGAGGATTGTTCGATTCCACAAGAAAAACTCGACAAGATGAAACGAGAGTTTAATTATTTTTATCCCCTGGACCTTCGAGTCTCCGGGAAGGATCTGATTCCAAATCATCTAACGTTCTTCATCTATAATCACGTCGCCATTTTTCCCGAAAATAATTGGCCTCTTGGCATAAGGTCAAACGGTCATTTGCAGTTAAATAGGGAGAAGATGAGTAAGAGCACGGGAAACTTTATGACGGGCGCTGATGCCGTGCAGAAATATGGTGCGGACGCTACGAGAATTGCATTGGCCGACGCGGGGGACGCAATTGAAGACGCCAATTTTGAGGAAGCCACCGCTAATGCCGCTATCTTAAGATTGTTTACCCTAAAAGAGTGGATCGAGGTATGCGAAACAAACTAAACTTCCTTCGAGATGTTTGTGATTTTCGTGCGATCCAATCTCGGTTAAACACGATCGTGTGTCAACCATAGGAACAAGTCAGCAGCACGTCTAACCTACGAGTGGGATCCAAGGATAGTTTTCCCGATCGAGTTTTTGAGAACGAGATCAATAGGTTGATACAGCTGACGGAAGAGGCGTATGACAAGTGAGCAAGTGTTTAAATAAAACCTTAATCGGTGTTCCAATTCGAATCCACAGTGAGTCGATGAATAATTAATTAATATTTGAATTTCTCTTTATCCATTGGAGCGCCCTTTATCGAGATGCACTTAAATACGGATTCTACGAACTGCAATCGAGTCGCGATTGGTATCGTGAGGTGACACTTCAAGAAGGAATGCACAAGGATCTGATACTTCGATGGATTACCGTGCAAGCACTGTTGCTGTCACCGATTGCCCCACATTGGTCAGAATATATTTGGCGCGAGGTTTTGTTAAACGTACTTATCGGCAGGTTTTATTTGAGGAATTGATGTTCACGTGCGCGAATGCCGGCTGACGTTTTATTTTTCGAAAAATCAGAAAAGTCTGATCGTGAATGCCAAATTCCCGGAAATTACAAGTCAAGTTGACAAAGAATTGCTTGAAGCGGCCGAATACGTTCGGAAAATTGTGAAAACAATTCGCGATTTGGAAATCTCATCTCAAAAGAAGAAGAAGAAGGGCAAGGGTGAAGATTTTGATCCGGAGAAACCCAAGGAGCTTAAAATATATGTCGCCACAAAATTCCCAGAGTGGCAAGATATCGCCGTGGAGGCGATGAAGCAAAATTATGACGAGGTTTGATATATCAATATTAGTTTGACGTGAATCATCTATAAAATTTGATACCCATTTTAGTTGATCGCGTTGATTTCAATCCACAGAAAACCAAGACGTTTAACGATGTCGAGATTCGAAAGATTCTATCGGAACGCGAGATCCTAAAAAATAAAAGAACCATGCCATTCGTACAAGAGTTTAAGAAAAAGGTTAATGAATTTGGAATGGTGTCATTCGATAGGTCGTTGTTGTTTAACGAGTATAGTACCCTTCTTACGGTGACAAACTTCTTAAAAAGGAGTCTCGGGTATGACAAGGTGTTGGTCCTGAGAACGGTCTACGCCATGAGTGAGGAAGAGAAGAGGGTTGCCGAAGTGGCGATTCCCGGGGAACCGGGGATTCTATTTAGGAACATAAATCCATCATAACAGATATTTGGCAATCAACGAATATCAACGAATATTCTACATAAAAGTTTTATGAACCGATCATTAATGAATGAATAAATAGAAAATTGAAAAATCTAGTTGGTGGGCTGACAAGTCGTAAACCACGAACTTTTAAGCGAATAAAACAATCGAGAATGAATGGTGTTACGCGAATGAAGTTATCCCGACATGGATAAAATCTTGAAACGAATGTAGTCAGCGTGAAAAGAATTAAAGCATTTTTCCCTTTCAAAAAAAAAAAAAAAAAATTCATCGTCCTTGTGTTCAAATTTTTCCATTCCATTCGTCAAATCAACTTTATTTACAACCGAATATACAGTAAATGAACCGACTGGCGAAATACAGTTTTCTTTAAACTTTACAATTAATTGTCTTGAGGCATAATCGTAGCTGCATGGTCAATTTCCGTCAAAATTGATATAATCAACATGATACATTGTAAATAGATATCTTTCTTTTCTTTTTGATCACTCTTCTTTGAACTCTTGTAAAATTTCCCTCAACACCTCCTCAAGATCTTCGTTCCGGAACCACTTGCCGTTCCCCTCTTTCTTTTCCTGCAACTCGTGATCCGGTGGTAACATGGTAGACACTCCCGCTTTTTCAAGCCAGCGTTTCTTTAACTCGTACTCCTCTCTCTGCACTAGATCGTCGGCTTCTGATGGGAAGGCCCTAAGCATCTGCTGTACAATATAGCGAACGGCATCGAAGATGTGCTCAGAGAACCAAACCAGAACAACGGTAAATATCACACCCGAAGTGGACGTAAAACCCTTTGTATCTGAATGGTATAGGTAAATGATTGAAGGGTTTGTAATCGATGAAAGCCATGTTATAAACGCCTAAATGATGGATCGAAAAGACGAGGAGTTACTAATGGCAAATCATTATCAAAGGGAACAAATGATTCTTGGGTTTATCATTTATCATGCACACCAGGTTATCAAGCCACGGTCCTATACTATCGGCTCTGGAGGGAATCGGTCTCCTCGTATGCACACACAGTTTGATAGCGTCGGAACGCAGTTCGATCAGATTGTTTATAAACGCGAATACTGGCGTCAACGGCCATATCACCGAAAATAGACTTACATATCCATACTGTTAAATGATGAATAAAGTTTTTAGATGATGCGAGTATCTCTCTTAAAGGGTGGTGACGCAATGTACCTGTGATACCATTTCCACGTAGTCCTCATACACGTCATAAACTGGTAGGTTCACCTCCCTCATCACTCTCTTCAGGAAGGCGGACTCGTCTTCGTCTTTCCCGCCATCATTATTCGCTTCCTTCTTTATCTTATTCATTCCTAAAGAGCCAAATCTTAGCAGGTACGGTAATATCACTTCCGTGAAGAGACTGATCACTTGAGCTGTCAATATGAAATATTTTAACTCGGTAACGAGTCGTTCCGGACCAACGCTTTTTATGGTGAGCGATAATCCAAACAATTCGAAAAGGCTTTGGAAGAAATAACCAATATCTTCGTTAAATGGAATGTAAATCCAGCCGATGAAAAAGATCGAGAGATTTCCGATTAAAAAGTTGGCCACAAAAATTTTTTGCGTGAGGTTGAACTCGTAAGATGATTCGGTTTCGTAATTTTCGTATTCATTTAACTTTTTCGCGATTTGTATGTAAAATATATTTAGCGCTGGAACCAAAGCGCAGTATACAATTGTTGGGAGGTAGATCTACAATGGACGAATAAAGATTTAGGACGGATCGTTGAATCTTTCGCAATATACGAATAGAAGGTGGATTCTTACTAATTGATTCCTAAAAGGGCCGGCATAATATTCTGACATGATGACCTCGAATAGGATATAGAACAACAACGCAAACGACAGAGTTAAGCTGAACAGGAGTATTACAGGTGCCGCAATAGCTCTCCTCACCCAGCGCTTCCATGGTGGGAAGTATGGAATCAATTCGCCAGTTATGTGACTGGCAACCTTGCATTCCTCTCTAAAGTCCACCCTACGCTTTTCTACTCGTGAGAAATGGCGAACACCCCACCACACGGCTAGCTCGTATTCCCTGCGACGCCAGAATTCCGTAAAAACGATTGACCATAGTACAGTAAATATTCCAAAGGTAACCGAATAATTTTGAAAGAAAAAGTATGCAAGTAGTCCAGCAATTGAGGGGATTATCAACCAATTACAATAATATTGGAGGAACGCAAAGTAGTACGCAATCTGAATTTTTTTTTTTAAAAAAAAAAAACGGTAATGAATGACGCCGTCATGGTGATCACGGGTCAACCAGATTTACCCTTACAGAATACCTACTTTCTCTCCAAAGTGATTCCTCAGACGAAGGAGGTCATCTTTGTCGATTACCCATTTGGTCGACCAAGTTTTTATCCAATCCTGAAGGAAAAAAGTTCATATTAAATGTTAAATTTAATATCGGTGTGCGCGCGTGTGTTTCAAAATATGACGAACAGATGGATCGAAATGACTAAAGCTCGGTCGTTAACCTCGTTATAATTATGATCATGAAGAGGGAGGAGGCTTTCTACAAGTTCAAAGTCTTCCAAGCCAGGATTAATTCCCGCACCGTTATCTTGGCGAGAATTGGTGATAATATCGTGCACAAGGCGTAGCCTCTCTGCGTCAGTCAACGCCAAATAGCTTCCCGAAGAGTCATCATCGATGTCTCGAATACGAACTCCGACAAGCCAATCATGGACTCTGTGGTGGTGTGCGTAAGATTCGATCGAGAGGAAATATTTTCTTGATCACTGCATTTCGAAAGATTATCTAAAAAGTCCAGTTACCTAGATCTATCGAGTTCTTCCTTTAATCTTTCCGCGGGACATAAGACGAATATAAAAATCAAGTCTGCGGCGCCGCGTCGCGCCTCATATTTGAGTCCAGCAAGGTTTAGCCTTGTCAGTATCTTCCTGCAGGTATCCTCAAGTTTTACCTTGTACACTTCCTTCTCGGCAGCGGGCAACTTGCCGAACGCCTTCGTACGAATTACCACGACATAGTCTGCAAAAGCATCCTTGCTCTCTTTTTGGCTCTGAAGCTGGTGAAAGAAAAGTCTTTGTGTTTCTTGGGCAAGCTTTGAGGTCGCAATTTTTTTAGCGACAGCTGTGACGGGGATAAACGAATTTAGGTTACTTTCAGACATAAAGGCGAGATATGTTCGTGACGGAAAGAAAACCTAGAGGATTATCTATTTAATTTTTCTTGATTGGGTCATGATGTGCAAGTACGTGACTCCGTGACTTCAAAATGACGATATTACCTCTAAGGGTAGGCGCATAAGGGAAGATATACAAGACGCACAGTTTGTAATATGATGGCGCTGCAGCGTGTGAAAAAAGTTTAGAAGTGGATGCCGTTTTTCTGTTCTGGACTTCGTGGAACAAGAACCCTTGTCGCGTGGCATCTATGACGTTAGGCTTCGAGGATAGGTCATAATTAGTTAGGTCAATTATTTGTGGTACCATTTTTTTTAGCGTGATGTCATGCGTGATGTTGATAATCGTGTTTACATTTGAATTTTCAAGTTAAATAAAATTTACGCTCGACACTTATTAAATTAAACCTTTAAAGCTTTATGCAACATTTGAGTAGACAATGAACAAAGAGAACAAAAAAAGCATATGCGAACGCCTAAAAAATTCTTCGAAGGCCCCAGCGGAAAAGCCGAAAAGGTTTGCGCCTATTCAAAGACCTCGAAGGATTTCTAAACATAGTGAAAGTAAAACTGTTGAGAAGAAGCAAGAAAAAGTTGAACCATTTGACATTCTAAAATCTCATGAAGAAGAACAAGCTGAAAGACGCCGCCTGTTGGAGGAGTATCGAAAGAAGAAAGAGTTGGAGAGACTCAAGTAATGAAAGGATTTTCTCTTTCTACACCCTCGTCGCTTATCCTCTCAACCTATAACTGTGTTCTTATGTAGAAACCGGAAGCCAATTAAACCAAAGAGATCGATCGAAATTCAAAAACCTCGAGTGAGCAGGACGGTGAAAACTGCCTTTACAAAGAGCGCACCGATTTCAACACCTATCAAACAAAATGAATATCGAACGCCCGTTCGAAATCCCAGGAAGCCATTACCGAAGCATTCTAAAAATACGGTTACGCCCTCACCCACGTCACCTAAAGATGACAATAACATTGAAGGAACGGAGTCGAACATGAATATTCCGATGAGAGCTACCGCTATCCCGCTTTATAAAAGACCGGGCACTCCATTTGTAACTTCCTCGACGCATACATTTGAAGAACCACTGCAGACGATGGCTCCGGAAAATATTATATTTGAATATACGGTTCCTGTTGACAAGGAGCCGAAGACACCGTCTCTAATTTCGGTTCCCACCACGCATACATCCGAGGAACCGCAACACTTCATTTCCTTGGATAAAATAAAATTTTACGACGGCGAAAGGGAAAGGTATTATTATGTAGATAACGACGCAGATCCAGTTGATAAAGAGTTGGCAACACCAACTTCAGTTTCCATGAACAGTACGCCCATACGTGGTCATTCAAAGATATATTCAAGTCCGGTGATTAAGGTGTCTGGGAAACCGCAACGCGTATCGATTATAAATCAGACTTCGGATGACGCTCAAAAGAGAACAAATCCCAGTGATGTTGCGTCTACGCCCACGACGTCTCCTTCCGTGATTGCAATCACCCGCAGGCGTTCAAAAATATACTCGAGTCCCTCGATGAAAGTATCGGGAAAAGCCCAACGCGTGAAAGTGCAGATATCGGATGAAAAAGGTGAAGCCTCTTTTACTCCCGAGTCAGTAACCACGCCGGCTATTTTGTCCACCACCACCCAAGAATCAGAATGCACGCCAACAACGACTCGATCGACTCCACGCAGACGTTCGAAAATATATCAAAGTCCAACGTTGAAGTTGACCGGAAAAGCTCAACGAATGAAGGTGGACCCTCCAAAAAATCATCATCCTCCTGAGAAGGATAATGGTCAAACGGTCAAATTGGATGCAGCCCAAAAAGTTAAACCATCTTTGACACCACTGAATCCTCGGGAACGTTCTTTAATTTATTCTGGTTCGTTGAATAGGTTGCCTGAAAGTCAAGAAGACAATGGGGATTCGACGAACCTCGACTCAACACCTAAACGTTCCATACATCCCATATTTAAGTTCAAAGCTCAAAATTTAAAGGATCCAAGGGAAGAAAAAAATGACACCAATAATACGGAGGATGATAAGGTCGACGATAACACAGACCAAGACATAGAATTGAAAATTCAAAACTTTTTCACTTCTTTAAAGTCTCTTCCCACTAGCGTGAAAATTAATGAAAACATGGAAGATATCAGTTCCAGTGGTATAGGTGAATCGCCGGTGTGTCCTGCTGAAAGTGACGCAGCCCTCCGTCTTGACTACGAAAGCGCCATTTTCGAGAATAATGAAAACCAACAAGGGGTCAAAGAAAATGCTAACTTCTTGGAACATGGCGAAAAGGAGGAAAAGACGGAGTGTGATAAGAAAGTTGTGGTAGACCTGGAAAGTATGGAGGAGTCGTCCCTGACTGTCTTGACGCCGGTAAAAGCAAAGAAGAAAGAACGAGAGGGTATTTTGATTCACTTCAATTGAATCTCAACGCTTTTTTTTGCCTATACGGGTCCTATAACTGTTGTCTAATACAGAATTCGGTATCTCCTCGGTTGTGACACCTGTGAGGCGATCGGCGAGGAACCAAAAGAATTCACCGGACGTGAACTTCCTAACACCCGAAGATCAAGTTCGCAAGTTGCTAGAAGAAAATGGATTTACTTATATACCGAACCCGGTATGAACTTTATATTAACAAATTCTTTCGATAATTATTCTCACGACAATCAAGTTTTATGGTATCTGAACAAGACATTCGCAAATCTCCAAAGGCATTAAATCGTGAAAATAATCTTGCACCCCTGAAGAAAACTCCTAAAAAGGGTGATGAAGAAAATTCTGGCGGCCGATCTGACACAGAAAAACAAAAATCTTCTAGAAAAAGTGTTAGATGGGAAGACTTCTCTAACTTATTGGAGCTTGTACCAAAAAATTTCTAGAAATATTGTCTAAATTTTGCATACAATGCGAAAATGATCAAAATGTTTGATCGAATAAATATATATCGATGTGAACGCACGATCGAAATTTATTAAAGTTTAGCTGAATTGTAATGTATAGCGGCATGTTGTCTAAAAAAAAAAATTTTTTTTTCCGTCAACTGTGTTCGGCTCAATTCTAGACAATAGAAAATGAGAATTTCAGTGGTTGACAAGTCACAACAGGAATTGAGATAAATTTTAACATCACACGTACGGTATCCACATCTTCTATGGTTTCGGTATCGTCGTCTTCATTTTCTATTGCACCTTCATCGCTGGATCGGATTTCGCCGTCGTCTTCTCCTTCTGGATCATATGAACGCGGATTTTTGTCTGATATTACGCCCTCCTCATCGTCTTCATCATCCACCTCACATTTCCTTTTTCGATCAAATGATTCATCTTCAACGTCATCTTCATTCACGTCTCGTCTCCTCTTCCTGTTAACGCTATCATCGTCCGTATCGTCCACATCCTCCACAATCTCTCCCTCATCTACCAAAGGAATCTCATCATTTTCCTCTTCCGCACTTAAGGGGCACGGATACTCATCGTTCTCCTCACTTGCTATCACGTCGTCCATATCTTCGATGCCAAGAACCTCTTCATCAGCCGCGTAAGCATTATTATTCTCCCCCTCTGCAACCTCGCCCACGTCCCCAACAACACTCTCAGTTTCCTCATTTTCGTCGACGATGGCACCCTCCTCGTTCCGATTCTCGCGAGATATTTCCTCATCGATGATTTGCGAACCATCCACGACATCATCATTGAGTGACATATCAGTGGTCTCCCTATCTAACGGCAAATTATCATCAATGTTCATGCGTATCGTATCTGGTGAGTCACCATTACTTCGAGGTGTCGCCGCTCTCTCAACGCCATTGGTCGAATCGTCTGATATACCATTTTCATTCGGAATATCCTTGTCCGTTCCGTTAATTCCATTTGCCTGCGGGATAATTTCCGGTGGTGGCGGGATTGGCGAACCCACGGGTGATGCTGACTCACTTCTAATGGATTCAGGTGTAGTGTTGGGCGCTTCGCTTTCGCCAAAAATATATTTGTGTTGCTCTTGATCCGCTTGTATCTCTGAATGTATTTCCCTCAAAACCGACACAATTCGCTCTAGCTGCGACTTGCGACGCTCCATGATTTCGTTTATGACCCTTTCTTTTTCCTCAAGTTGTGAGATCTCCTCGTCCAACGTGGCTATTTCCCTTGTAAAAATTTGCCAATGATGGTGAATTCACACACACGGGACATGTAAGTTATATTAATTCGTATGTAATAGGCCTTACTCTTTGGACTCATCTCGAGTTTGATGTTCGTTTATTTCGGACGCCAACAAATCATATTCTACTTTGTTTTTCCGTATCTCCTCAGCTTCTTCTAGTTCCTTTTCTAATCTTTCAATTATACTCTTGGTCTCTTCGATTTCCGCTCCTATATGAAATGATCGAAAATCAATCATAAAATGCAATTCGTCCGTGCCATCCAAAAAAAAATAAAAAAATAAATAAATGGCCATCGTCCGGGAAAATAGACTGGTACCAATTCTCTGTGATTCCTTTTCCCAATGCTGTGCCTCTCGTAGATTCATGTCATGAATGATTTGAAAACGTATGAGTGAAAGCTCGTACGTTGAGAAATCCACTAGAAATTCATTATAATTTTGTCTCCTATTAAATTTCCAAGGTTTAGAATACGGAATCTCGTACGCAATAACAACATTTAATACGCACGCTTCTTTGAGGTTTCCTTGCTCCAAGAAACTAATGAACGTGGCATGTTTTCGGGTTACTCGACGGAGAGTACGCTCTTCGACGGTGAGTCTATCACGAATAATGTTTTCTAAAAGAGGTCGCGAGAAATATCAAAAGGTGTGAACTCTCCCCATGATCAGCAAAAATCTTGCTTCAAAGCAATGCCCGTACCTTCGTCAGCCATTTTTTGAATGTAAAAATGCTGCACGCCGATTTTCATTATAAAAGTCGAGTTTTTAGCATCACGTGGAAGTACATGCCAATTTTGCAGATCATTTTTTTACGTAAACTACACGTGTAGAAATACAGTAAATAAAAAGTAAATAGTATTGGATCTAATTCTTTAACACCCGTTGGAAAGAATGACGTGTATTATGTTAAAATAAATGAATCAAGACGTTACTGTGATGTATCTATGTTAAAAAATTTTTTTCAGAAACAACCTTCGAGTCGAACAAGTGGTAATTCAGAATTAGATAAGATAATGAAATATTTAGCATTATATGTAATCTCCTCGAATGGATACCATTTAACCAATTTTACAATGTAAGAGAAGGTGGATTTAGCATAGTGTATTCTGTACATTGGAAAAACGGTTCCATTAGGTATGGAAAATTTACCAAATGAAATTTTCATCCAAAAAAAAAAAAAAAAAAAAGAGAGAGAGAGAGAGAAACCATTTTAGAATATTTAACAGGAAGGATCCCGCAAAAAGTAGTATTGAGAAAACTCGAGAAATCACAAAATATTTATTAATGAAGTAATTAATTAAGATTTTATTTTTCATAATTCCTAATTTAAAAAAAAAAAATCCAAATATAGATAAAAATTCACCATGCAATATTTTTGTTTGGGATATCTAAAGATCCAACAAGTTGATCACAGAAACCGCCGAATCGCTTGGAAAAAAAAACCTCTTGTGCCTCAAGTTCATGAATGGAATTCGAAAAGGATTGTCCATATATGGAACGCGTATTTTAAATTGTCTTTTTAGGTGAAAGTTAAGGGATTTTCACCCTTTAAAATACGTAAGAATTAACATTCGATTCCAAATAAGGACCCCACTACTTTACATCATGTCTAATCATGTGACAGTGATACCAAAGATGGCTACCTTAAAATTCTGGGTATGGTCAAATGTTCGAGAGAACTTCTCTATAATACGTAACTGTGACATGACATACTGTGTATAAATGTGCTCGCCTTTTAAATAGAGTTTTCTGACAACGTATGCGATTGAATCAATCTGGTAAGTGAATTATATATATTTGGTCGATATAACTTTTTTGCAAAGCCACTAACAACCTCTTATTAACTGTATTAGTCGACAAACTTTGAAGTATTTTCAACGATTATTTCTCCATAGAAAAAAAAAATAAATAAAATCTTGAAATACTGAAATCACTTTTATTTTCTTAGTCGTCTACTTTCTTTGAATAATACACACCCCTTGCAATTTCACCTTTCGACAGAAGCAATGCCAACGGATTCCGGGTTTGTCGACAATGTCTGGTCAAAGAATCGCCATTCTTTTCACCAATGGACACCACAGCACTCGCTATCCGGCTCAGATATCGCACTATCCAAGTCAATGTCACTGCACCTTCATTCAACCAGTCGACGAGTATTCATCGGTCCAACACCTGTAAACTGGGATTATAAGAAAAAATCACTTTTGTTTTCCAAAAGTGGTAGTGGGGAACACCATGAACAAAAGACTTTTAGGGCAGAAATCAACGATATCGGCCCTACCAATATATCGCCACTCGACTATAAGGCCTTGAAAAAAGAACAAAGGTAATATTTATTTACCGTTCTAGTTCCTGTACAACGATGATTTGATGTGGTACTTCGTTGTTTAGCAATTCTCCGGAAATGATCACGGACAAACATTTTCTGGTCAACGAACCCGCCGAAATTATCGGTTCGGATGTTAACAGCCCTTCGAGTAACAATGAGGTTTTTTATACACCGTCGGAAATGCCGTCGTCAAAACCCATCACTCCAATGTATCACACGCGGGAAAATGAAATACACAAACTACCAGAAATGCTTTCATCAAGCTCCGATGCTGTGCAACCTCTTTCGCATTTGTTGTTACCACCATCTATTATCGAGACACCTCCTAAGGAAAGTAATGATCACACGGAAAATCCTGAATCAATATTATCCGCAGACATTGCAGAATCTCCTCATTCACTTCAAAATAACGAGGCGACAACTGAGCACTTGAATGTACACAATATTTTCGATGCGATCTCTGACACAAGTTCGGTCGCTAGTTTCTTGAATGACTTCCACTATGAGCCTGGATCGATCATCAAGGAAGATCGCATGTTGGTCAGAATTGGACACGATTATTGCATACATGCACCGCAAAGGTACGACGAATACACTTTAAAACAAAGTCTTGTTTATTCGGTGGGATGGAGGGAGTACATCGTGAAGTTGCGACCTGAAAAAGTAGAGTTTTACAAGAACAAGGTGAGTGATAATATTTCTCCAGGATTTGAAGATTTCCCGACCCATGAATTGCTGGTAACGAATTTATTGTTTTTTCGTAGAAAGACAGAGTTGATAAACTGTACTTCACTTCAAAAACCCGATTATCCCTATACTCAGCGGTCGACTATACTCTGGCGCTTATAAGCCCTTGCGAACATGGGATGAAAATAATCACGTTTCGTCCAAGGACCAAAGCATTAAGTACCGAGTGGTATTTACTCCTTTATAGGTTATTCCCAAGACCTCTGGTAAAACCGATCCCTTCTGTGTGCGAAGTTTTCGTGCCAGATCTGGATGTGAAAATTCACATTCCATTAGAGGATGGCGATCGCGCATTTCGGCTTACGGCAGAGGAGGTAACGAAAGTCGTGTTGGATCAATTGTCGGGCGTAAGGGAGTGGGAGGATGTGTTGAACGAATGGATGGAAAGCGGGGACCTCAGGTTGTGCTGGAAGAGATATGATCGACTTGAATGGATTATTTGGGAAGAGAATGATGAGAACATTGATCGGAATGATTTTCTGGTTTGTCCACAATTCATTGAAGAGGTAATCTTTTTTTCCTTTATTGTCACCTATTCAACCCTTCTATATAATGATACTTATGTTAACTTAAAATCCGAAACGCATTAACTTAGACGCATCAATTACAAATGCGTATTACTCAACATTATCCAACGTCCGTTACATTGGCCGACGGAACAAAATTAACTGTAAGGAATCAAAATGATCTATGCCTCACCAATCCATTTGCAACTATTTCACCATCTTACTTTCAATATCTTACATAGGAACCTCCTCCCGTAGAAGGATACCTTATAAGGTTATATCGAGTTACATGAGATTTTTTACAACTTTCATTTCGAAATAATAAATTTTATCTGTGCCGCAGAATCTCAAATAACAAAGGCCGAAAGAAAAAAGCGAAGAGGTTATATTTTTCTACTCATGATCATTACCTTTTCTTCATGAAACCTTTTACCATATCCCCTCCACCTCCACCAAAATCCAATTCTCCGGATGGAAATGACAATCAATGTAATAATAAACAGCCTTTGATATACGCAATTGCGCCGCAAATTCAAGGACAAACTGAGGGGAATAGCTCCTTTATAAGGGCGGATTTAAAAAGGCGTTTTAGACAAGTGATTAATGCAACCGGGTTTGTCAATTTAACTGACGTGATGGAGGTCAGGCGGCACACAAGCGGTAATGGATATGACCATGAGCATGTGGAAGGCGGAAATTGTGAGCACGAAGCTCAAGGAAAGGGAACTCCTTTTGAGATAGTGATGAAGAATAACTTGATAATCGTCCTACAGGTAACATGTTAGGGAGGGTACAACTTGCAGCATAAAAAGCCATAGATTATCCGGAATACTCTAAAATTTTTCTAATTATGACTTTTGGTTTATTTACAGGCCTATTCACGTGAAACTAGTGATGAATGGATTAAGCGTCTTATTGATCTTGTGCGATATTGGAAGGCTCGCGTTGAGAATGACGCGCAGACACGAATTAATTTATTCAGGGTGAATCGTTGGGAGGACGATGATCACGTGAGTATGGTGGACAATGATGACACGCAAGAACACTTCAACAACTTTAAAGTATATGCCGATCCGGTTATTTGGAATTGGTGTGTCTTAAACGGATGTCGTAACCTCACGGTATTTGCCTATAACTATTCCGTAATTAATTATTTCTGAATGATTTCGTAAAATTGTTTTTTTTTTTTTTTTTTTTGCAACATTATGAAACCACATCACAACAGAAAACCGGATTATTGTATCTTAAAACTCATTTACACGGTACTTTCCGGAATTATCACCACATTCTAACGCGAGGACATTTGATCTACTTTAAAGTATATTCGCGGGTGTTATCCGGTCGTGCAACCAGTAGATGTTATCATAAACGTAAAGGCATCATAAATTTATCAAATTGTTATGTCTATTCTGGAAGCATAACAGAGCATGATTTACTTTACTCCACCGTTGCGAAGTATAATTTGGCATCGAAGGACAATGATTTCCCCAAGAAATATGAAGATGGACTATGTAGTTATGATAAGAACGAAGAATGCACATTTGTCATATGGAAGGGGAAGAAAAGATATACATTGGAATTTAATGGTAAGAAGGCGAATGGGCCGTTTGGATTGAACATTAAGAAAAAGATCAAATTGAATCACCCGGGAGAATGTTGGGTGTTTAGAGCAAGAAATCGGTCCGAAAGAGAGGAATGGGTGTGGGCCCTTAACATTGAAATTGCAAGACTTTGTAAACAACAAAACAAATGAACTTTGTAATTTAAGAATCGCCGCTGTTAAAACCACGAGAACGTTTTTGAAAAGAAATATTTTCTATTGTTTCTCTCGGATACATTTGATTAGGATCGAAATTTACTGTATATAAAATAATTAGAAATTAATATTTCTTGAACTATATTTATATACAATATATATTTTAAAATAGTGTAGCGATTTATTTATTTTTAGGATGAATTTTTAATGTTCAACAATTTAAATAAATTCAATTGTTTGTCACCTTTACATTTCATATCACGTATGAACAAATGATTTTAAAAAAATCCTTTATTTTCTTTACACAGTATATAATTTGCAGCATATTATGCTCAATTTAAGGAATAATTGAAAGCCAAGTTGCGATTATTACGCAATTGATGGTCTTTCAAATAATCATAAAGCCAAGTTGCAATTATTACGCAGTTGATGGTCTTTCAAATAATTATACTTTTTTAGTATTGAACCTTTGCGAGATTAAAGTATTATTAAAGTATTTGATCGTTGAGATATTCGGGCAACCGAAATGCATACACTAAAATCATTACACATGACGAAAAAAAATATTTTACCGATCTTTGTTGAAACCCAGGTCCTCCAATTGAACGAGTTTCGATTGAGATTTGAACGGATTAATTAAATAACAGGTATGGCTGTATATACTGTACGTATATATACAGTATATACATATCGCTTTTTAAAATTAATTTTAAAAACCATCGAGAATGCTTTTTCGGTTTTCAAAAAGAGCCATAATGATTGAGGACGAAATATGATCCTTTTTTTTTTGTTTGTCTCTTTTTTTTTTTTTACTACCGGACGAAGCAATCCATCTCAATCGATTAAAGAATTTGGCCCTTTTGTTTTTATTGGTGAATAAAATTCACCACTTAGGACGGTATCAGGATGGGACATTGTTGAGGTTAACAACATGAATTCACGAATTAGTCTCGGGAAACTTTCGATCGCTTTCAAAGGTAATTTCCAAAAAAAAAAAAAAAAAAAAATCAAGAATTGATTTGGAAAAAGATGATAAATAAATAATCCTATTTACATCACATTGGGTAAGATTCAGTTCTAGCAAATACATGCGTACTTATGCTGAAATAGAATGAACACTGTGAATTTAGATTTGAAATTACCCGAGGAAGAAAAAGTGAAATGAGATGAAAATTTTGATATAATAAATTATTTTTCGCTTTGATTTACAAAATAATGTTACATTAAGAGGATAAACTTGAATAATGAAAGGGAGTAGCAGAAAGTGTCCTTTGATGATGCGGCACTTGAACAAAATTATATGTAATTACGTATTTATCGATGGCATGGCTTCTCACCCGTGACAATATCAGAGTGTCAATGTAATTAGTTCAATTTAACCAATATCATTTTCATATACCCGTGGTAACGTCTACAACACTTATATCCTCGGACTCTAAGCTTAGATCACTAGCGTTTCGATAATGTCCCTTCAGATGACCAACCCCACCACCATTACTATTTTCTGACGAGAAGCCGCTGCCCGCAGAAGTTCCGCTCGTCGAATGGCCATCATATTGATCCCCGTTTTTTTCCCACATGCGCCTATTGTTTGATGAAGATTCAATTCGTCTATTGGTTGACGGTGGAGATAACGAACGCACTCTTGCCGAATGATTGCAAGCATCATCAATGACATTAGCAGACAGTAGTGATATGGAATTAGGCGGAACTTGATGAAGCGTTAGAGGTTGTGATACGAGAGGATGCTCTTCGACACTTGAAACGTTTAAAGAGTCGGGGCTATGGGATGCTTGTTGCGGTGGCGAGCGGACAGAAATCGAAGGATGTGGGTTAGGTGAAGTGGGCCGTGAGGAAGGTGGAGTAACGGTATTATACACCTTTTTGGAGGTCTGTTGAATCCGTGGCGGTGGAGTTAACGAGGAAGTTGCATGCATTGGCGATGAAAAGGAAGAACCTCTTTTGTGATTCACCAAGGTTGAAACAGATGGTGAGGGTGAGACGTAACCTGAAAGGTGTGGTCTCATTGGAAAACCATCTGAATCGTTGGATGCTACTATCGGACTCGATCTACCATTGATTGGGACCGCGCCTAATACGAATCCAGACATTTTCCCAACATCGCGATTTTGAGATGACGTGGGCCTTTCACTCAACCAGTCGCCTTTCGTTTTTTCTTTATTATCCTTGTGCTCTTTAAGTTCTTCAGAGAGTCCTGCTGTGGTCAAATCCGATTCCGTGCGCATGTGCGCCAATTTTGCCGATGGTGGACGAGTTGGCAAAAGGGAAGCATTCGTGTCCATACTAAAATTTGGATTTATGTTTGAAGAGTTGATTGTCATATGGTCAATTGCCGTAGAGCTGCCACCACTGCTTCTACTTTCACTTTTTCGTCTCGTTACTTGACTACTCCTTTTCTCGGCGGAAGTGGCGCGATTATGGTTGCTATAACCTCTTCGACACATCTTGGTGAAATCGTAAATCAAGAACTTTTCCTCCATCATTCTCACTTCCCTAGAAAGTCCGCTGAGATCTTGGTTAGGATTTGCACGCTTTTTGGCTTTAAGCGGATTGTCCTCAAGTAGCAATTCCTCGAGTTCATGTGTAGCATCAAAGTTGGCTCTTTTAGGCTAAAAATTTAAATATCGAGTTAACAAAATGATCACGGGAGGAACAAACAAATAAATAAATAAATAAATAGACTTACGTCTGGGATAAATGGTGCATTTGCTTGTTTTGTAGCAAGCATATCCCAATCTATGCCTTTAAACCAAGGGTGACGCTTGATATCTTCTAAACCGTTTGGCCCACAACCAAGGCGCTTTGATATATCCCTTTCACAGAACTATAATCGTCGAATAGAAACAATTGATGCACATGCATGCCTTACATAATTTAAAAAGTCGGAAGCTTTCTGCGGATACTTACTCGTTTTATAAAATCTATACACTCATCGGAAATAATATCACGAACGTTCTCCGGAAAATGTAGAGGCTCGTTCATAATGGCATGGGTTAGGGCGGAATTTGTCTTCCCACGGAATGGGCGCTAATGCGGAAACGGAAATGAATGTCAATGTCAGGACGGTGCTACGCGAAATAATTGGAACCTTCAGGAGATTATTTGATAAGTTTTTATGATACCTTACTGAAAAGAAGTTCATATATCAATATGCCAAGAGACCACCAGTCCACCGAGTCAAAATATCCCTTCTTGCTAAGCACTTCGGGTGCTAATTCGTTGTAAAAAGAAAAATCGACGATACTTGTTAGGTCCTGTTGATGGTGGTCGAGGGTGGTTCGACAAATACACTTACCCATATAAGCCATAGAACCTGCAACTGACGTAAGGGGCTTTTTCTCGTTGAAATGAACAGCTATGTTAAAATCAGTCAAATGCGCATGTCCCTTTTCATCCAAGAGGATATTATCGGGTTTCAGATCTCTATATGGGAAAGTGGAAATCAATGCATGAATTATAATATTTCTTCGGCAAAGCAAAATCAGACAGCCCCCATAAATTTAATAATGGTGTACCTATGAACAATTTTTTTGGAGTGCAAGTAGGCTAATCCGAGACTGATTTCGGCAGCATAGAACTTCACCACCTCTTCCTTCATACTCCCTTGTCTCTCCAAGTGGAACCTTAAGTCACCCCCTAACATTAGGTCGAGAACCATGAACATGTTATCATCATCTTGAAAAGCGTATCGCAAATTGCACACCAGCGGATAATCGATCTCCTCTAATAGGCGACGCTCTTGTATAATGTTTTCTATTGCGCGCATTTTTATGCATTTTGCCTTATTAATGTATTTAAGAGCGTACAGAACTTTTGTATGTTTGTGTTGTACAACGCGGACCTGGAGTTCAAGAGATTAGTTATCGTGGAATTGAGTAGTTGATGGCACATTCGAAAACGAACCTTTCCGAAAGCACCCTTTCCCACAGATCTCAGCAGATGAAAATGCGATAATTCAACTACATCATTGGCAAATTAAATCGAAATGTATGAACAAACATTATTCTAAAACCAAGAAAGAATCGACGGAACAAAAAAGTATCCACAGCTCACCCTCGGCATTGAAATCAATTTCCTCTTCTTTACAGCAGCAGATACCCATTTCCTAGATTATATAGAAGCTGTTGGCTATATATAATGCAAGTATTAGAAGGTCTCTTTCGTACGCAGTCTACTACTATATTATTATTACAATCTCGTTCATATAATATGAAACTGAGTATGGTTGGTATAGTCTTAAATGGTGAAATATATCGCGAAAGATTGTCGAAGCTAGTGAATATAATAGAACAACGGCCCGCCGGTAGTATATTATGAAAATATAGATCCAAGGTGGATTGCGAAGTTGCAGGAATTGAAAGAGTATGGTTATTATTCAAAAGAATGGTCAAATGGATGGAGGAAGAGACGAGAGGTGAGAGAATAAAGCTAAGGTGACTTCTTCTTCTTCCTTTTTTTTTTTTAAGAAAGGACAACCCTTTTTTTTTTTGTTTGTAAAACTATAAAATGAATGCAAAGACACTGTGGTCGCATCTGGTTACCATTATGAGTAAATTGATATAATTGCATATATTAGAGTTGAGAAATTGGTGAGACCTCGTGTAAGACAATCCGCATAATATAAGAGGCAACGATCATTGGAAATAATTGAAGTACAAAAGACACTTTATTTTTTTCAGCGTAATGCATTATTGGTTCTCCGGGTCGAATGACAATTCTTTATTACCGTGTTTGAGACTAACATTACCATAGTGAATACTTGAATGTTAATTCAGTGCATGACAGAATGAATCTCTTTGTTTGCACCCTTTCTTTGATTTACGTAATTTCCTTTATTATTATTTCAAAACCAAGAGCGCCGACTGTTACAGTCTTAAAAACCTCGATAAGCTAATTCTAGCCAGATTGTTGAAAGTCGGCTAGGCGCCGATCGTTTCAAATGTTTGGTAGGAAATACCCGCAAAGACAATCTTTAGGTTTGATTCCCGCTATTGTCCGTGTTTACGAGGTTGGCCGTCTTCAAATAAAGAACGTCAACAATTCCTATCTAATTATCTAATGCGTTTCATGCAAAACAAAAAATTCGTGCACGCATAGTAATACCCATTTTTCGGCCGATCTGCAAATAACTTACCGCTTTAGGACAAGCCCGATGTCGAGGGAAACAAACAAAACGTTCTTCTTGTATTAATAGACAAAATTAGAAATGAGTGCACTTATTTTTAGATACAAGTAATAATTATGCATTAAATTTTTAATTTATTGGAAAACAATTAATTTATTAGCTATGGAATACTGATGAATTAATATAAATTAATATAAAAAATTTTTGATTGCATTGTAAAATTAATTCAATAATTTTATCATATATTGCATAAAAATTCTTATTTATTTATTCTATTTTTATATTTTTATTATAAATTATAATTTTTAAAAAGGTTTAATATTATCAATAATAATAATAATTATAATAATAACATACGGTAGCTTACAAAAGTTTGGGATCATCTAATAGTATTTTTATAGTTTTTTCGATTTAATCATTTTTTATTTCC